AACGCTCGTCGAATACTGTAAATATCTGAACTATAATAAAGAAATGGACATTTCTACAACCGAAGCCCCCCAGCTTAGACTTTTCTGAATCGAAATATCCAACTCCCGAACTGCTCACTCGAATATTGACACGTCCATCTTACTTGATGCGAACAGTTGTCACGAAGATATTCTGCCGCGCGCTAGGTTACTAGACCAGGGGAAGGTGGCGTGCGGGGCAGTCGTGAGCGGCGCGGCAGTTGCAGCAAGAACGCTCGTCGAATACTGTAAATATCTGAACTATAATAAAGAAATGGACATTTCTACAACCGAAGCCCCCCAGCTTAGACTTTTCTGAATCGAAATATCCAACTCCCGAACTGCTCACTCGAATATTGACACGTCCATCTTACTTGATGCGAACAGTTGTCACGAAGATATTCTGCCGCGCGCTAGGTTACTAGACCAGGGGAAGGTGGCGTGCGGGGCAGTCGTGAGCGGCGCGGCAGTTGCAGCAAGAACGCTCGTCGAATACTGTAAATATCTGAACTATAATAAAGAAATGGACATTTCTACAACCGAAGCCCCCCAGCTTAGACTTTTCTGAATCGAAATATCCAACTCCCGAACTGCTCACTCGAATATTGACACGTCCATCTTACTTGATGCGAACAGTTGTCACGAAGATATTCTGCCGCGCGCTAGGTTACTAGACCAGGGGAAGGTGGCGTGCGGGGCAGTCGTGAGCGGCGCGGCAGTTGCAGCAAGAACGCTCGTCGAATACTGTAAATATCTGAACTATAATAAAGAAATGGACATTTCTACAACCGAAGCCCCCCAGCTTAGACTTTTCTGAATCGAAATATCCAACTCCCGAACTGCTCACTCGAATATTGACACGTCCATCTTACTTGATGCGAACAGTTGTCACGAAGATATTCTGCCGCGCGCTAGGTTACTAGACCAGGGGAAGGTGGCGTGCGGGGCAGTCGTGAGCGGCGCGGCAGTTGCAGCAAGAACGCTCGTCGAATACTGTAAATATCTGAACTATAATAAAGAAATGGACATTTCTACAACCGAAGCCCCCCAGCTTAGACTTTTCTGAATCGAAATATCCAACTCCCGAACTGCTCACTCGAATATTGACACGTCCATCTTACTTGATACGAACAGTTGTCACGAAGATATTCTGCCGCGCGCTAGGTTACTAGACCAGGGGAAGGTGGCGTGCGGGGCAGTCGTGAGCGGCGCGGCAGTTGCAGCAAGAACGCTTGTCGAATATTGTAAATATCTCAACAATAATAAAGAAATGGACATTTCTACAACCGAAGACCCCCAGCTTAGACTTTTCTGAATCGAAATATCCAACTCCCGAACTGCTCACTCGAATATTGGCACCTCCATCTTACCTGATACGAACAGTTGTCACGAAGATATTCTGCCGCGCGCTAGGTTATTAGACCATGGGAAGGTGGTGTGCGGGGNGGGTCAGATCAGCCAGCACTACGAGTTGATCGTCGCGCTACAGTTGTGCGAACGGACATTAGCCAAACCAAAATAAAAACATTTTCGACCGTCAGGTGGCACACGCATATGTTTCTGTTATCACGGGTGTCGGTAAAAATGTGACGTAAGAGAGAAAGAAAGCTGAAAGGGAAGGATAGCGACTAAACATGGTTGCCACATTTCATTCCTCGCCGCAATGTTGCCATGTCGTCAAAACCGTTTCACAAACTGAGTTTCATGAAACTGATTCCTGCTTCATGAGCCCGTTCTGCCGCGCGCGAGGTTACTTTACCAGGGGTAGGTGGCGTGCGGGGCAGTCGTGAGTGGCGCGGCAGTTGCAGCAAGAACGCTTGTCGAATATTGTAAATATCTCAACAATAATAAAGAAATGGTCCTTTATACAACCGAAGAGCCCCCAGCTTAGACTTTTCTTTATTATTGTTGAGATATTTACAATATTCGACAAGCGTTCTTGCTGCAACTGCCGCGCC